ATGAAACTTGAGCAAGAAGCATAGTTCATGGCACCATGTTTGAAGCTAGGCAAAATGATATTGCCTCGTGCGTTTTGGAAAATTGTTCGTGCCAAATGATAATCTCGTTGCACTAAATCAAAGGCAAAAAGAATCAGATAAACATAATGCTTGAGTTGCAAATTACATGCTCTCAAAGTTCAAGTCATGGCTTGGTTTCTTGGTTAGGCATTAGGCTGAACTAGGTTGAACATGTTTGGCCAGTTGAAACCTCGAAGTTCATTCTTGAATACATTTTGGTTCCCTTGTGCATTTTAAGCCAAACTTGGGCCAAATGATCTTTTCCATAAGCTTAACAAAAGGCACAAAGAAGTTTTTCAAATGGATGCTTGATCCGGAAATGGAATAGCTTCAAAATGGGAGTCATGACAAGGGTTTAGGCACTTTTGGCAACTTGGTCACGTCCAAAATTAACGTCCTTAGAGGTTAAAATGGTGTTTGAGCCTTGAAGAAAAGTTGTAGAGGAGTTTATTTTTAACATTTGGCTCAAAGTACATTGTCCATTGGTTGAAAATTGAGAGAGTCATGGGGTTTGGACCAAATAGCATCTCATACTTGAGTTTTAGGCCACACTACCATGCACCAACTTGTGATTTTAGGTAAGATATTGAATCCAAAGGCACAATGATGATCATGTGAATACCAAATTCGAAAATGTTGAATGAACCATGATTATTTGGATAATCTCTTATGAATTTTATGGAGATGGCATGGAAATAAACACATTAACTATTATTGAATCAATGAATCAACTTTGATACTTTCTTGACCATAATGAGACCCCTCATGCCATAGTGAACATGTCTTGATCATGAGGCTTTAGTTAAATACCACAATTCTTAAATTCTCACTTGCCTTGATTTGAAACCTTGATCTTCTCAATCCAATCTTGCACACCTAGATGAACATAAAGAAGAACAAAACAAGTGCCACATCTCTGGATGTCTTGATATGATGATATGTAACAAGTATTAAGCCCTAATTCATAAAAGTAACAAGTACAAGACAACCAGGTGAAAACCTTGAAAAATAAATCAAGAGGAAGACCCTAATCCTCATATTCAAACTTGTGACCAACCATGCTTGGGAACCAAGGATCTAGTGATATGCTAATGAGATGATATGATGAATGTATGATAAGAAAACTAGGGTGAAAATTAGGGTATGAAAACATTCACCAGCAAACCTCCCTCTCAACCTCTTGAACTTGAACTAGAAGTTTTAAAACGTACAAATTTGTTAATTTGTTTATTATAGCTTTGTGATCATAAGTTAAATTCTTTGTCAATCTGTTTAATATGGCTTTGTTATCATTTGTAATTTGTTCACATTAGATATTTGATTTTAGAGTTAAAAGCAACAAGTTAGTTATGAGTGTGACTATTACATCATGATTCACATGTTGAACTTCATATATTCTTATGTCGTTGGTTCATGGACACAAGTAAGTAATAGAATTTTATGTTGATATAGTAATTTAATGTTATGTCAACTTTTATTTATTAAGATATTTCGGGATTCAAATACATTTTAAAAATATGAAGTTAAAAATCTTCAAGAACGTCATGCAAACATGATATTATAACACATTGAAGCAAGTGCGGACAATGATATAAATTAGGTGCAATTTTAGGTTGGATGTTAGTTGTTGGTTGTTTGTAATATGACATGATCTTTTCTGGTCAATCTTTAAGGTTTCTTGTTTTGGTTGTATTTTGATAAGTACATAGTTGTTGTTTCACCTACATAGTTACTCTTGTTTATCCTTTTTGATAAGACTAATTTCACCTCAATTGAGTTAATTGAACTTACTTACTAGCGCACTAGTTGTGTACCTATTTTGATTACAAGGATGTTTTAATTTGATATGATAATATATTTATTTCTACCGTATTATTTTGAAGTCTGGGTGAGATATATGGAACAAAATAATTATATGATGATATATTACTATTATTTTGTATGTTGTGTTGATTTACCCTACTATTGCGGTTAGTCTTAAAAAAAAAAGTAGATATATGTGCCATCTAAAAAAATATTACAAAAACAAATGTGTGGAAAAAAAAAGTTAAACTTGTTAGGTTGGTTAAATATATACTATTCAAGAAAGTAAATTCTTAGGTCGGGTATAAATGTTATAAGAGTTTTTTTTAAGTCTAGACTTATTAAGTCAGGCGTTGTTTAACCGACCTAATAAACTTTTCTTAAGTCAGGTCCAAATCCTATTTAAAAACTCAAAACTTCTTATGACGACAATTTTTAGGTCAGGCTCAGACCTGACTTAAAAAATCATTTTTAACCGACTTAAAAAGTGTTTTTTTTACTAGTGAAAATACAAGTGTGCATGTTCCCCCTACAAGGTCAGGGAGACTCAGAGGCCTTAGTAGGTTTATAACATGATATGGCTGTTATGTATTTCCAAAAAATGGTGAGAAGTTTTGTATGGTGGTATTTTGAGGGAGTTTATGAGTCCTGCTCAAGTGAGGTGAGAGGCTCTGCTGATGACTGGTGATGCTTGGGAGAAAGAGTATGGTTACGGATAACAGGGTTTTATACCCTTAATGAGCGTAGTTCTCTTTAGGGTTTAAAGAAGGCGTATGCCTTAGGCTCCATTAATTAGGATTTGTCAGTCTCTTTTAAGGGGAGATGTATTTCTAGAGCCCTCTAGAGTTTTCTTGGAGAGGATCATCGCCTACTCAATTAATGGTGGACAGTTGAATCCCTATTTCCAACGGTGATGTGGGTCATATAATGACATTGACTTTCTCTCTATTTAAGAAGCGTCTTATTCCATATTTTCCATGTTATGGGTTGTAGTAAGACCACGTGGCAAGACGATACCTCCCTTTGGGTGACATTTTATCATCGCCTTTTCTATGGCGATCTATAAGCATCACCTAGGCTGCGCATTTTACAAATATAACACTACAATGTTGTAGTATGCTTATGTGTGTTTGGCTGCTGGAAAATTGGTTGGAAAGTGAGAAATACGGAAAATTGTACAACAAAAATTGATTATATGTTCATGATAATTGATTGTTGTAAATGGACAACCAGTTGATTCCTTTGAAAATTATTCCCCATTATCTTTTGATTCAAGGAGACAATCCATTGATGCCTAAATTCTTTAAAAATGAAAATGTTGTGCTCAATGGGAGTTGAACACTTGACCTCTCCACTATAGTACAAGCATCTTACCACTAGGATAAGCCTATCGTTTATTAAATGCTTTTATGCAATGTGTGACTTATGTATTTATATGATTGATGGGTATCATGTGTGAAATCATATTTCATTGCTAGGAAGATATTGGAATGAGAATTGTACCTAAATAGTGTGAACATGATTAAAACCTTAATCGATCATAAGAACGTATACATGTCTTATGATATGAAACATTAAAAAAGTGTCATCTAAGTTAATTGACAGAGGCACTTGGAGATTTCCTAAATGTGAAATGGTTGAATCTTGAAAGATCAAGTGCGGGTTACGAAACCCTAAATGGTGAAAGGAACATAACAACACCATAATAGAAGTATGAGAGATCAAGTTTGAACGTAAGAACTGAGAATCCTTGATTTCATACGCATAAGTAATGCAGAGCATTAAAAAAGGATTATGAGAAAGTCGATAGTCCAAATTGCTATGTGATATATTAAACCTTTAGATTAATTAATTTAAGGTAGAACGGTGAAATCCTAACAATGAGCTTATTTATATATGCTTTCCTAAAGTAATAATTGGTATGTGAAAAAAATATCCCTTAAAAGAGAATAATTAGGGAAAGAGTTTAGAACACCATGGTTATGTGGACGGGCTTGCCTAGATGATATTACTTGGTAAGCAAAGTTATCTTAAGATCGAGTTAGGATTTGATGGTGCCAACTCCTACGAAGTATGATGACACCTCGAGTTCGAAAAGTATCGAGGTCGCTTGATTCCGGAGGGAATCAAGTGGAATGATTAGATGAATATTATGGCCCTAGAATTATCAAGAGATGTAACTCCATAAAATTTATTCCACACACTGGAGGCTTGCCATGCCATCAACCATATCTAGTAGATATTGAGTTTTGTGAAGTAGAGGTCTGGTATCCTATTAACCATATATGGTGGAAAGGACTTTATTGTGATTTATGTAGTGGAGGTCTGGTATCCATTGACCATATATGGTCGATACTATAATCCAAGCAGTGGGGTTTGGTGTCCATTGACCATTTCGGATGGATAGCATATTTTATGTAGTGGAGATCTAGAATTCATTGACCATATTAGGTACATATTGTGATCCATGTTGTGGAGGTATGGAATCCATAGACCATATCTAGTAGATAGTTTATGCCGTAAAGTGGAGTTTTGGTATTCCATTGACCATATCTAATGGAGAGTATAACACATGCATTGGATGTTTGGAAACTATTGACCATATTTGACAGATAGATTATTAGATCCTTGTGATCTATTTTGGGGCTAATCACCCTTGAGTTACATAACATGTGCATCCGTGAGCATGACATTCTTATATTATGAGGAACTAAAAAAGCTTTTTTTCTCTCGTTGTACATCTAATACGTGAGAGTAGTATTAGTAGTACGAGAATAGTAGTAAAACCCTTTAGAGATGAGTGGACCTATAATATAAGGAATTCCACCAAGGTTTAGTAATCTCACATGAATTTAGAAATGGATATGTTTCCATTAGTCAATCATAAACATAAATTTAGTTACTTTAAATAAAACTTATGCAGTTTATATTAGAAAAACAAAAACAAATAACATATTTAAACTAGCTTAAACGTTGTAGTTCTAGCCTCAAATGAAAAACACCATAATAATTCCATAAAAATAGAGTATTATACTTGTTTAAACATAGTACAATCATGTAAGATAAGCCATTTCTAACTGTTTTCAAGAGGAGAAAAGTTCACATGGAATGCAAAGGCAAGTTCTATAATTTAAATTTTAAGAGATCAACATCATAATTTCTATAGCTGCTTGCTTGTAAGTTTCCTCCACTGAATTTGAATCATTTAAACATTGTCTAGCCTGAAAAGTAAACATGATTTAACTAAAGTTATTCACACTAAATAACATTTTTTTAATGAGTTAATAAATTATTATAGTTGTTCGGTACCATAATATTATAGTTTAAACAAGTCTAAATGATATAACATATAAATTATAGAGACAATAAAGATTTTGTTTGAAACTTACCTGAGCTAGAATCATGTAGAAGTTTCCATTTCCATTGCATGTAATGTTGGCAGCTACAACATCAATCCTATATTTTTCCAACACAAAAGTAATCTTTGACAAAAGACCTTTAATTTTAGTAGCACATATGGAGAATTGTGCTTCACCACCACAAATGTTTAAGACAACATTTTGATAAGACCATGTTTGTAAAGCTATTTGTTGTGGTGGAGGTGCAGATTGTGCTAATGCTTTTGAATTATGATATGAAGTTGCAACTGCGTTAGTAGGAATGTCATTTTCATAACTTGAGGATCCATTATCACTTTTAAATAGGGATATATATTTAAGCTTTTCTTGCTTCTTATTTTCTAACTTTTCAACAATTTGCTTTAGATTTTTTATTTGCTTCACTGCTGCATCCACAATTGTTGAATTATTAGCCTGCAAAAAAAATCATTAAAAACTAAATAATTTTAATTAGTAAATAAATCATTATGACACAAAAGCCTTACTCTAATGGATATCCTCTTATGTATATTATCTTCTTCTCATTCAGTTGATTCTTAGGACGAAGACTTATAATACTCTAAAATTTCATTTGAAGATAAGTACAATATGAGTGATATTTGTTCAAGCTTAATGTTATTTCAAGCTCTTATAGTAAAAATAAAAACCTCATGAATTTGTTATATTGTGTGCATACTACATCCTATTTAAGTAAATACTATCATACTAACACAATTAAAATAAAATTATTATTTTTTCAATAAAAATGTTAAATTGATCTTTTATTATTTTTTACTTATGTGAACAAGTATAAAAATCTTTAATATGTAGGGAACCGGACATTCATAATTTTAATTTGAAAATTTTGAAATTCATCCTTTGGTAATTTTCCAACCTCTAATACTACACCACAATAATTAAATCTTTAAAATAGTAAAAAAGTCTATTTGATTATGTAATCATTTCTCTTAAAATAATTAAAGATGAAAATGAATTTACCTTTGAAGGTAGTTCAGGAAGCAAAGCATGAAGGCTAGAGAACATGTTCCTCATTTTCTTTCTCCTTTCTCTCTCAGCCAAGAGATGCATTTCATGATCTAAATCACGATATATTTCATCTTTACCTCCACCGTTTATATCATTCTCACTTCTAATCATAACCCCATCTCGACTTTGTGTTTTATTCACATGAACTTCTCCTTCATTAAGTCCTTCTTTATGGTTCAATGATTTCATACCTAATTTTTGTTTGCCAGACTCACCTATGTTTTCAAAATTTAAGAGATCACTCCATGATTGATTCTCCCACATGAAACCAGCATGAACACCATCATCATGACCTACGCTCATGGCCATGTTTATCTTTACAAAAGAAATAGAGTATAAGAAAGACAAAAGAGGTTAAAAAGAAGATAAAAGAATTAACATATTTATAAAAAAATATATTAGAGTTTAGTAGAAGCTACTAAAAAATAATATTAAAATAAAAATTAAAAAGGGCAAACTTAGTATTGAAGAATCCAAAATTTACTCGAAATGCAATTATTGTTATTTAAAATTCTAGAAAATACATGAAACTAATCATAAAATATTTGTCATGAAAAATACAAATTAAAATTTAAAAATTGTGTACAACAAAGACAAATTTTCTCTCACACATTAGGATTCCACCACATAAAACTTACACTACATTACATGCATGATTTGTGTTAAAGTGAGTTTATTGAAATTACTGTGTGCGGCCGCGGTTTTGAAAAACCATATATGCAATTTTGGAAAAATCATGTTAGTTCACTTGGAGTTGGACAAACCGACAAATTAAAATGACTAATTTATGATTTTAAAATTTTATTTTTAATTATTCAATAAATAAATATAATTATAAGTAATTATACAATTAACATTATGATATTTATATAAAGGTATATTCCAATCCTATCACTTAGATAGACGTTTTTTTGTTTCTATCGGATATGGGGTTCTAGAGTTGTATTCTCTTAATAGTACAACTAATGGAAAGATCTAGAAGATCGAGCTGTAAGTACATTTTTTCAATAAAAAGTTATTATAAAGATATTAAATTTAATATAATTGTAGGTACTATTAGTACGGATAGCAATTTGACCCATATCCATTGGGTACTTCCAAAAATGCCCACAACATAAGGATAAAAACTCACAAAATTGACTCGGGCATGGGCATCGATAAATATTCACTAAAACGAGCAGGTATGAGTGCGGATTTCGATACCTTAGTACCCAACCCGTCCCATTCCCACACAATATATATTTATATTTTGTTATTTATATTATTCTATAAAGTGCATGTCAATCAAATTTAAAAACAAACACCACTATAAAGTTCCACACATTTTATATATGAGTATTTATTTATTTTATAATTCAATAATAAAATCTCTGAGTTATTTTATATATTGTTTAAAAACTATAAAATATTTTATATTTCATAATTGATCGATTTATTTTTACCAAAAAATGCGAGTGACAGGTACATGTATGAGTACTTAGCTACCCACAAGGTAGAAGTATGACTTCAAACATTGATGTCCATGCAAGCATGTGTTAGAAAAAGATTCTGTAATACTACACTGCAACAATTAGATCTTTAAAATAGTAAAAAGTCTATCTGATTATGTAATTACTACACTTAAACTAATTGAAGATGAAAAAGAATTTACCTTTGAAGATAGTTCAGGAAGTAAAGCATGAAGCCTAAAGAACATGTTCCTCATTTTCTTTCTCCGTTCTCTCTCAGCCAAGTGATGTATTCACTATGCCAAAATTGACTTTTGGCAGCACTAAATAGACAGCATTTTAAAACCAAAGCGCTGCTATAAGTTTTATTTTAAAAAAAACTATAAAAAAAAGGCGCTGCTAAAGGCTATTTTTAGAAAGCACTTCTCAAAAGCGCTGCTAAAGGCCTTATGTAGGCTACATTTTAGAAAGCTCTTTTGAAAAGCGTTGCTAAAGGCTCCCTTTAAAAAGTGCTTTTGAAAAGCTCTACTAAAGGTCATTCCTAAACTCAACCTTAGAAAGCGCTTTTGGAAAGCGCTGCTATAAGCCTATGAAAAGAAAGGGCTTTTAATGAAAAAGGGCTGCTAAATGGTATACATAAGTGTTGCAACTATGGAAAAAATATCGGCAGAAACAAACAGAAGAGTCGCCACCGAACGTTATTTATCCCAATAAAGGGAAATAAAATGATTGAAGAAAATCTAAAAGAAGGGAGAAGACAGGGTCATCGCAACCAAATCTTGGGTTCGGGAGTCGGTTACGCAAGGGGGAGGTATTAGCACCCCTCACATTCGTTGTACTCAACGAGATCCACACTTGTTGTCTAATCAAAGGGTGAGTTTTCTAAAAGCTAGTGCTCAATGGAAATGGGAAAGGGAAAAGAAAAAGGAGACTTGATAGGACATCCCCGCCCTATGCTTACGTATTCCCTCGTGTAATGGGAAAGTCAGAGTCAACGTAGTTCGAGAAACTACAGGCGATGGGGGAAGGTTACTCACCAAGACATCACCGTCTTGTGCCTACGTATCCTCATCTGGTATGAGAAATCAGAGCAAACGTAGTTTGGATAACTAGAGCATAGGTTTGTTAAGTGTTTTTTTATGAGTGATGTTAAGTTCTTATTCCAACAGTTATGATCGATGCTTGTTTGCGGTAGAACAGAAAAGTAACATACTCTCTTTTGAAAATGATTTTCAAACACAATCCTAAAGGATAAAAAGGTTTGAATTTGGTTTAAGAGTTTTAATGAAGTGAATTAAATTTTTTTGAGATTCACGTTGCACTAAAGACTATGATATAGGAACGAATGCATCGCATATCGCTCACAGGGTGTACACTAAACACTCTAGACAAGTGAGTAGAAACCCCCACTCATCATTTCCGATATGTTTAAGGCTCTTGGCGCGCAACGTTCATCGTCTTTATTAAGTATTTTGAATTGTTTGAGATGAGAAGATAAGACTCAAAGGAAAAAGACTAAAAGGGAATTGAAAATCCTAATGTTATCATACAAAATGGTCCTAAGGTTAGGATAAAAGGGAAATCTACCTAATGTTATCATACAAATGATGAACCTAAAGTTGAGGTCAAGAAGGGGTTATCCTAATTGTTATCATGCAAAGTATTAAAAGCCTAATGTCTCTCCTAATCCCATCTTAATCAGAAATTCAGTGGGACTAGGAATCATAAAGGATCATGTGAGCAAGCACAAGTAAACACTCTCCAATTCAATCACAAATGAGAACAAGCTCAAGACTTAAACAAATCTCAAGAAAAGAAAAAGAAGAAAGAGGAATGCAAGATGAAGGACAAGATTCAACATTATGAACATACATGAAAGTCTAAAAGCAAAGCATCAATCATTGATCACACATGGTAAACATTAACAATATGTCAAAGCAACAAGAAGCATTCACATGTCAAACCATATCAAAAGATTTGAAATCAAAGCACAATGGCAAAACAAAGTGCCCACACACATCCAAATAACTCAAACATCTTACAAGAGGCATTATCAATCACAAAGCAAAGTGAAATGAGGTCAAATTAGATGAGAAACAATGTAGGGCAGCATCAACATCACAACATATCAAATTCATGTCAATGACCAAAGAAGAAGCACAAAGAGTTAAATCATGATATTCCATTCACAAACAAAACAAATGTTACACAAAACAAGCATACAAAACATAAGCCTAAAGGAAAAGACATGAGATTAGGGAATGGGATTAAGTGTGGCAGCAACAACAACATGGTCATCAAGTTAAAGATTCATTCATGAACACACAAAGGAAACATCAAGGCTTGAACTCAAAATATGCCTCAAGAACAAGTTCATACACCAAAGTCATTCAAAGATAGGAGACACTCAAACAAGAACAAACATGATCAAGTATCAATCCATCAAGGTTAAAAACAAACTCAAGTGGTATGCATCATGTTCACATTCAAATCAACAATGAAAATCAAGAAGAGATAAATACAAGTTGAAGCACAAAGGTCAAGCAAACACAACTCAAGTTACTCATAGGAGAAGTACATGATTATGTAAGGCAGGTGAAACAGAGTGGGCATACAATAGACCTCCATACATGAAAATCATAACCTCAAACATGTTTACCAAAGGAAATAAGAATCATCAAACATCTATTGAATCATCCAAGAATCAAGCTCAAAATATTAGGTCAAGGCATACATAAACTCATGATCAAAGCAACGTCAACTTGATACATTATCCAAAATTAGAAAAATGATCAAATAAATTCTAATCAAAAGCTCAAACTCATTATATTCATTAAGATAAAGTGTGCAAAAGATATCAACAAGATTGGCTCAAATGCATCATTAAGTCAACTTAACAAGGCAAGCATATCATATGAATCAAGCATGCATCGAGGACCAAATAAATAAACTAGGAAGCAACCAAAAATTCCACATCAAAACACCAAACCTGCATCCAAACATTCACCAATGACATATCAAAACAAGGTTAAGAGATTGGATCAAATAGGCAAGCATAAGGCATCAAAAGCATAAACCCTAGCCAAGGACAATTATGTAAAATCACTTCACAAAATAAATATCAATAAAATAGGAAAATTAATTTAAAAATAAAATAAAAATTATGAAAACTTTCTCAAGACAATAATTAGTTAGAAACATATTTTTAACCATTTTAAAGAATGTTTTATCAATTAAAATAAAAAGAAAATTGAAAATAAAATCAAAATAAAATAAAAAGGAAATAAAAAGGAAAGGGGGGTGCATCAACAAAAGGAAAATGAACTGAGGAAGTGTTGTTGCGCATGTTGGGCTCAATAATAGGGGGTTCATAAAGCAAATATGTAAGGCCCATGAACCAAACAAGGTCAGAAACAACAAAAAAAGGGCCACACGTGAGATTCATTAATTGAGTCATCATTAAATCAATGCCACATGGGCTCCACACAGGTAAGTGAAGGAGCCAACACCCCAAGACAACTCAGACGCTGGAGCTAGGGCTCCATTCGTCTTCTCTGGTGGTCATGTCGGAGTTATAGAACAAAACATCGTCAAAAACAACACAATCATACATCATTCTGAAGGGAATTTCATGTTGAACACAAATATGAACTCCATTTTTATTTTTAACAACTCTAAGGTCATGAAAATCGAGCACGAAAACAAGAACACGTGAACTGAACTTCTTCAAAACAAGACAAAATCATGCCAAATATTGCCTACAATGGTGTAGGACTTTAGATGCATCAATAATGAACCTAAAAAGCTTATAGAATGAGAGACATAAGTTGGAGAAAAATACCTAGTGGAGGGTGTCCACTG